CCTTCCTTTGCCCTCTCATCTCTTCCTTCCCCTACTTACTATTATCACCAACATTTACTGAGCACCTACTTTGTGCAGAGTGCTTAGTGTCAATATGTTCTTCTTAAGAACACTTTTTTTGTCTTGCCACTGGCAGATGAAGAAATGGGCTTAGAGGGTCACTGGTCACAAATCCCACAGTAGTAGGCAGAGAAAGAGTCAAACACAGGTCTTTCTAACTCCAGATTCTGTTATTAACTGCTGTGCTATCTGTCTATCTTGTGTTAGGAAGGTGTTTATTTTCTGTCTTTTGACTGTTTTCATGTAAATGTGGTGAGTTTTTCAATGCATACAAAAGGATTTTATAAGAACTTTTTGTTCAGAAAAGAAAAGGAGATTAACATGAATTTCTGTGCAGAGTAGGATGAAATAGAGAAAGGCAGAAAATAAAAAATACCAGAATCAGTTATCAGCTCTGATGTCTTAGAACTAGGATACTTATCCTTCTCAAAACAAATTCTAAGACACACATTCATGCAATTTGCAAAGCCATGTGACTCTGGAGAACCGTGTTGACTGATTGGAAATGGGTAAGATTCTAAACAACTTCAGTGTGGTATGCAATTCCAACTACTTAATTCTGGTTGGTTTTGAAGACACATGAGCTGACTGCTTCATGGGAATAGGAATGAAGGGGAATCTGTTCAGAAGGTAGATGCCTCCCCATTACTAAGAATAATCCAAAGCCATAAATTGCTTATACCATCTCAGTACCTGGCAGACTACTCGCTAATCTTAAGACCTATAAAATAAGGGATCAGAGGAACATTTTCTATGTGGATGCTATGAGATCTGTGCCTATCTTGCTCTCCATTGACCCTACGAGTTTTAAAATTACTAAATTGATAATTTACTAATCTTTCTTTTTGGATGATCATGATGGTGATGATGATAATGATGATTTTTGCAGGACTCTTGGACCACCTCATTTTCACAAGGTACTAAGCAATGAGTTCAGGGTTTGGCCTGAAAACCTTATTTCATGTAGAAATTTGCAGGCAGAGCAAAGAGAGTTAACATCCTTGGGTGGGGCAGTGAAGGAGAGAGTATGGTGTTCCCTTCGGTCGCTTGAAAATATCAGTGCCTTTTCCCTTGTCAGCACTACTGAAATTCAGCACTGCTAGGAAACAGAAATCCGATGTTCCAAGATGCTCCCATTGGACTTTCAGATATCTCCTTTGCATTTTGATAGTTTCAGCAAGTCATACCTCACTTTTGATACCTATAAATATCTAGGGTTTTAGTTGACGCACGTCTAGCTTGCTTTACAACAAGGATTTAAGAGCTTCGAGATACTATTTGCCATGAATAATTTCTAGTGGAACATATTGGATCACCTTGTATAACTTTTGCAGGCTGGTTTTCATTTCAGGTTTGACTGTTACATTGTAGCTTTGCAAAGCAATAACAAAAAATCATAATTTAGGTTAGCAGAAACAAAACAAATGATGATGGGAACATTACCATAACCATAATTTTACAGCAGAGTTTAATTATTTGGTTCAGTAATGTTCAATAATTATTTCAACACCAAAATTCCTCCCCACCCCAGCCCCTCAACAAACTAAACAACTGTTTTACTACTGGCAACTAATTTATAAGGCAATTTCAGATTCTTATGACTTCTTGTCTCTCTGAGATTTACAGTCACTAATAAAAGGCCCTTACTTCGAGAGGCATGAATTAAAACTCATTTATAAAGCGAATAAAAATTCAGTGTTTTTCCAGTTCTATCCAGAAGCATCCACATTCCTCTAGACTTGGATATAAGTGGATGAAGCCCAGTATCAGGTGAATAACAGGTGCTCATTAAATATTGGAATTTTTGAATTCCAATATTCAAAAATTGAATATTGAAGTGAGTAAAGTAAAGATGCAGTAAAGTAGACAGAGTCGTATGAATGGACTAGTTTATTTATCTTCCTCCTTTCTTTTGGATGGAATTTGATGAAGGTATTTTTCTTTTCTTTTTTTGTGTGTGAGTAAACAAACTGAAGTTTAATTCCGTGTGTCTGAAAATCGCTTTTTGTTGTTGTTGTTGGAATCTCACTGTGTCACCCAGGCTGGAGTGCATTGCCATGACCTTGGCTTGCTGTAACCTCCACCTCCTAGGTTCAAGCCATTCTCCTGCATCAGCTTCCCATGTAGCTGGGATTTCAGACCTGTGCCACCATGTCTGGCTAATTTTTGTGTTTTTAGTAGACATGGAGTTTTACCATGTTGGCCAGGCTAGTCTCAAACTCCTGAGCTGAAGTCATTTGCCTGCTTCTGTTTCCCAAAGTGCTGGGCTAACAGGCCTGAGCTATCACACCCAGCCTGAAAATCACTCTTGATTCTTTCTTCACCTTTATCCCTCATGCCCAAAGATCAAGTCCAATAGACTGTCCCCTCTTAATTATCGATGGAAACTCTTTGCTTCTCTCCGTTCCACTTCTATTCTTCTGGCCAAAGCCACTCTTCCCCCTTGCCTGGAGTGCTATCAACATTTCTAAACTGGCCTTTCTTCCTTCACTCTTGTCCCCATTAATCTATTCTCCATATACCAGTGAGAGTGATTTCCTGGTATAGGATCTCCATTCTTGCTGAAATTTCTACTCTGGCTTCCCCTGGTTTTAGGATCATGTCTAGAAATTCTGTCTCTGGTCCTCAACGTGCAGTTGTGGCTTAGCCTATCCTGTCCTGAATCTGCATCTGATAGCACTTTCTCACAATCCAGGCTCTTCCAGAGAGTGTGTGTGTGCACGCGGGCGTGCGTGCAAGCGTTTCCCTCGGTAGAGAATGAGGATCTCTGAAACCACTTTGTACGATCAGTCCCGTTGTTCGTTATGATTGTGTGTGGGCGTCACTTCTGGAAACGCTTCTCAGTTAATTACCTTTCTTTGTGTTTTCATAGCACCATTGGAGTGCCCGATAATGGTACCTGTGATGTCTTAATGTGATAGCCTTTCTCTTCCAGCAACTGGAAAATTGTGAGAGCAGTGCTATGTCTGTCTTAGTCACAGCTTATGCTCAGTACCCAGCATGGATACTAGCACACAGTAGAGACTTAGTAGTTGTTGTGTAAATGAATAAAACACATCTATCCAGAGCGATAACTTGGGGTAGTTTTGCTTCTCTGCAGTCCATCTCCCTCCCTTCCTTCCTCCCACCTCTCTGCTCTTCTCTCTCTTTCTCATAGTGATAATACCTTTACTGTGATCATAGCTCTTGTTTTCTTAACCTATCACCTTTTAATACTTTATGAACTATTCCTAAAAACTCAACTTAGAAAACAGCTGAATTAGCCCCTTTCTTGAGGATTCAGGCTTCCATGAATTCCATACTATTTTCTTATTTTAAAGTCTTGTTCTTGTTTATATTGGAAACATTCTTTAAAAAGAGAAAAGAGCATTTGGAAGAGCAACAAAACACCTAGTTAATGTGCAACTACTTTAAATATTCCTGCAGTGGCAACAATTAAAATAGAATCGTTGCACACTTTCACTGCTGGCAAAATTGTAATGCAGGGAGAGCTAGATTTACAGTTGTCTCAAAATCTGCTGCCTTTGTCCTTCATGAGTTAAAAATGGAAATAATACTAATAATAGAGATAGAGATGCATTGATTGCTTCAAACAAAGTG